CTCTCAGCCTCTCCTCGCAGGAGAGATGCTCCAGCCCCCTCCTCATCCTCGTAGCCCTGCACTGGACTCTCTCCAGTAGCTCCTCATCTTTCTTGAACTGGGGAGCCCAGCACTGGACACAGCACTGCAGATGGGGCCTCCCCAGGGCAGAGCAGAGGGGGAGGAGAACCTCCCTTGTCCTGCTGCCCACACTCCTCCTCATGCACCCCAGGATCCCATTGGCCTTCTTGGCACCCAGGGCACGCTGCTGGCTCATGGTCACCCTGTCGTCCCCCAGCACTCCCAGTCCCTCTCCGCAGAGCTGCTCTCCAGCAGCTCAGCCCCAACCTGTACTGGTGCCTGGGGTTGTTCCTCCCCAGGTGCAGGACCCTGCACTTTCCCTTGTTGAACTTGTCCTGTGCCAGGATCACCCATCGAAGCAGTGAGCAGTGAGCACCCATCACTTTCCATTGCCTGAGTGCGACTCAAGTGACATCAGCTGGAAAATGTCTTAATTATCTTCTTTTTCTCCCTTAAGTGGTTCTTGAAATGCAGACATCTTTGAGCTCTCATCAGCGCTCCTCTGAGCACAGCCCGATTGTGGAAAACCAGGCATGAACTGGGCCTGACGAGAACTTTGGGACAGGGCGATTGAAACTGCAGAGGCTCAGGGTGGGAGGGCAATCTGTGCCGCCACCTCCTCTGCTTCTACAAGCGTGGGAGGGGACCTTCCCCAGGTTGCTGCTGTCCTCCACACTGTCCTCCACACCAGCTCTTGCCAAATTGTTCTGCTTTCTCTCTCTTTCAGGTTTCTGGAGGATAAAGCTGTGCAAGTTTGGCCAGATACCAGGACATGGGAAATCACAGCACCTTTAAAACTGCATTTCCTAACAGAGAAATCGGCTTTTCAGAGTTTCTCCACTTAGCTTGGTGTCAAAGCGTGTGATTACCACAGCAGATGGGATGGCTGCATGAAGGTTTCTTCATCTAAATGCACCATTTATTTCAGGGAGCTACCCTTGCCGTAGTGTCCCCACCATGTCAACCCTGCCCTGCTCTTTCTGCTCTTTCCTTAAATGTCCAACAAAATCCACAGCCAGGAGCAACTTACCCCACTGAGGGGACTTTGGAGCTGATCCAAGGTTTACTATCGTGTCCCCACTTGGGCAAATGACTTCAGAGATCCGAGTTCAGATCTGTGTCAAGGCTGATTAGAGAAAGCTGGCTACGAGAAGACTTTCAAAGCGGAGGGATTTTGACACCCTGGTGTTTCGGGTGTGAAGAGCCATGCTGGCCGTCCCCAGCTCCTGGGATGCTCTGTGAAGCTCTGGTTGAGACTGGGCAGCAGCATTTAGACATCTGCCTGTCCTCTCAGGTGAGCCACCACCTCGACCTTACCTCCAGGGATTATGAGGGTAATGAGCTCAAACGCCCAGACCTGAGCGATTAAATTTCCACCCCTATACACCCTGGCAACTTTAATTCGGGCTTTGGAGACTGATTTCTCCCAACATCAGTGATAAGAGAGCGTAAATTATTTACTGTCGAGCTTTGTAACTCTATTTACATGAGGAAGAACTTCTTCCCTAGGAGGGTGACAGAGCACTGGAACAAGCTGCCCAGGGAGGTTGCGGATTCTCCTTCTCTGGAGATATTCAAGACCCGCCTGGACAAGGTCCTGTGCAGCTTGCTGTAGGTGACCCTGCTTCAGCAGGGGGGTTGGACTAGATGACCCACAGAGGTCCCTGCCAATCCCTACCATTCTGTGATTCTGCGATTCTGTGATTTACACCTGGTGAGGTTGTGATAGTGAGGATGTCCCTTCAACGTGAAAAGGTGCTGAAGGTAAAAATGCAGCTGAAATACCCTAAAAGTGACCAAGAATGATGCAGGAGGAACAAGAGGCTCTTGAAAACTGCGAGTGTGAGAA